AAAGCCAGGCTGGGGCAGTGTCCATACAGCTGCATTGAGATGGAAAGCGTGTGGCATAGGGCAAGCAGGTTGGGGAGGGCAAGGCCAGATCTTTGCTGGGCCCCATGGGGTTAACGTGCTGCTCCTTATCCCCACTCCACCCCAGCTACCAGCAGACCCAGCGAGGCATGCAAGGTGAGGTCAGCAAGGGTTAAAGCCACATTCCAGGCATGCTTTGCAGCCAGCAGCCCCTTAACCGGGGATGGCGAGGATGGGAGGATGGCTCCGTTGCTGCTTCCATGCTGGAGAGGAAAGGGAAGAGCTGATCCTCACCTGGCAGGGCTGAGTGAATGGCAAAGCGATTGCCTGTGCAGGAATGTGTGTGAAATCCCACTTCAACCCAGCAGGTCCCTTCATCCTCTTGCAGCTGGGCATGCTCTTCAAAGCAGCGCCCTGTGGAGGGCTGGCTTGCACACCGCGCTGCCAGAAGCATGAAACCTCACCAGAGGTGAGCCAGCCGTTTGCATGGGTCGGGGCTGATCAAAATTACAGAGAAAAACAAAAAGGCAAAGATCTGACAGGGATGCTGTGATTAGTGCCTAGGCAGTGGGCTACCCGTGCTCCAAACCAGCTTGTGCCCGGGGGTGGATCTGCTGTTGCGGCGTGTCTCAAATCAGCCAATCCTGTTCGTCTCTGGAAGCTAACTGGGGACGTGTTTGCTCTGCCAAGCTTTTCAGCTCCGTTTAATTTAGCTCTGCAAACTCGCCGTGTCTCAGGCTCCCTGGAATGTGTCAGGTGGGGTGCATTATAAATATGCATCATCCGATCTCGTGGTGTTGCTCGAAGGTTCAGCGGGTGGAAAGAGCCCAGTAAGTGCTAACCTCCATCCTCTGGCTCAGGACAGCAATCCGGGTCACAGACAGGCTTATCTGGAGCTGGCACTCCACTGGGACACTGTGTTAACCGTGTTGGCTGAACGTGCCTGAGCAGGGATGCAACTGAGCACCAAGGTTATGTTAACTCTAGCAAGGCTGGCAGTTAGCAGAGCTTCACAGCTGCCAGCCTAACAAAAGGAGGGGAATAGTGATTCTTCCCCACTGATTTGCAATGTGCCAGTGAGCAAAGAAGCACAGTGCTGAGCACCTTGGCTAGCCAGCCGTGAAATAGATGGGAGTTTGTTTTGTGCAGGGCGGGGATAAACACGGAGGGAACCCTACTTGACAACTGGTTACAGATGCAGGAATGCCTTTTAGCAAATGCTTTTCTGGAGGGGTTGTGGGTTGTTATGTTGTATGGTAGACTGGAGCATGAGCAGTCGGACTGTCAGAAGATCTGTGGGGCTCGGGTTGGACAATTAGCAGTCCTATGGGGCTCAGGCTCTCTCTGAGGCAGCTGGTCAGGATAGAAGGAAGATAGTGCAGCTGTGAGACCACCAAGGCTTTCCTGTCCACCTGGACCTCTGTCCCACACCACTCCTGCCTGCAGGTTGAACTGGGTTCCGTTCTGCTCCCCTGCACACTGCAGAATGGATGGGATTAGCCATCCAATCTGAGCTTTGCACTAAATGTCAGCCCCAGAGCAGCACAAACCCATGGTGGGGATGTGCCATACCTCACTCTCAAGCCTGAACCCCAAGATCAGCCAGCTGCTTCATGATGCAGACATCCCAGCCACACGAGCAGCTCTGAGACACGAAACCTTCCCCTCCAAAGTGCAACAGATGCAGTCTCTCCTTTCCATTCCTCCTACAGCATCCTCCCCATCACTCCATGGCCACGTGAGCCATTTCCTCCGCTCTGACATGCCCTCCTCTGGACGCTTTCCATTTGCTCCGTCTTTGCCTCACTTCAAGTTCCCTTTGGGAACATCTCTCTTCCCCTCATGCGAGCTGGTTCTCCAAAGCCCTCATTGTTCCCCTGTTTTTATTTACTGCTGTGCTCTGCAGCTGCACTGTGTCACCCTGCGGGCACGGCGCGTGCGGACAGCTCTGTCTGTTTGTCTCATGGTTTGGAACACAATCACAACCACGAGCACGGAGCGGGCATTAAATCACAGCCACAGCTCCATCCCTGCCAACGCTTCTTCCTTTCCTGTGTCTGCTTCCACCTCCAGAAGAGAACAAAGCAACGATACCCAACTGCTCCGAAAGAGGCTGGGGGTGGGGTGTCCTTCTTTTCTCCTTAATTGTAATACGTTGAATTAATTCATTTTCCAGCCAGAATGAGGAGTTCCCAGCAGCCCTTCGACATCCAGATAAGGCTGAGCTGCTCGCTCAGCCCCTTTGGGTTCTCTGCTACCTGCCTCACTGCCAACATGAACTTTTTGGAGAGTTTTAAATTATTCGAGCATGACACAGAGCAAGGGGTTTTGCATTCTTAATTGGCAAAGTCTTTTCCCACTCCACTCTGGAGGCCCCTGAGCTGTCCTGCCAATTTACTCTGATCCTGATTCACAGGCCTTGCAAACATCTTCCCAGGGCTGCCCGAAAGCACTGGCAGCGTAACCAAATCCTCGTCTGTCAGTTCCTATCATCTGCTCCTGAGGCATTCCCAGTCCCCTCTCTTGGGTTCCCAGCACTGTCCTGCAGCCGCTGTGCCCTCAGAAAGGCAGGGAGCATCTCGAGGCACTGGGGTCAGCAGCCCTCTGAAATGCACCAGCTGCAGCTCTGCCCAGGGGAAGGGACACCAAGGAAACAAGCAGCTGGGGAGGCAGATGACAGAAGAGAGAAAGAAAAAAAAAAAAGGAAAAAAGAGGGAAGGGGAAGCAGAAGGAAGGGATCTCTCTGCCAGTTCCTGGCTGGGCTCCTCTAGCACCCAGCATCTCTACTGGGAGAAGAACTGCACCTCCAGGGACAGGGCTTGTCACAGGGGTTTGTCACTGCCTGGCCATGCAGTGTTGCCTTAGGCAGCTAGGATGGCTACCAGCACCCAGATGTTCACACCAGAGCCTGGAGAGTTTGTTAGGAAGGAGACACTCTGATAGACACCCCAAAACAACTGCATTTCTCCTTCTATTCCCCTAATTCATAGAATCACAGAATCATTCAGGTTGGAGAAGACCCCTTGTATTCCCCAACCCCAACTCATCCCCAAGTGCCACATCTCCACAGTTCTGGAACCCCTCCATGGACCCCTCCTCCCCATCACCTCCCTGTGTACCTGTGCCAGTGCCCACTTTTTTGGAATGAACCTCTCCTGGCACAAATTAAGGCCATTACTTCTCACCCTATAAAGAAACCAAAACACAACACTTCAGGTATTTGCATGTCACCCATTCTCTCACCTCATCACCTTTACCCAGTGCCCTATATTTTCTTCTTACCCACAGATTGATGGCTTCATTTTCACCTTTCTAATTCTCCCTGGCCCCTTTCTGTTGTAACACAGCCCTGTTAAGCTCCCACAGATCCATTCCAGTGCTGCTTATTTGTTTCCTCACCTCTCTTGCTCCTTCCACCCCATCCCCAGGCACACACCTGCTGATTTACAGTGTCAGCAGGAGGCTGATGTTCCCTGCTCCCTACCTGCAGCCCCAGAGCCATTAGGGACCAATCCATCAAGGATATGCCCCAACTAAAGGGACTGGAAGATTCTCCACCATCACAATCACAACTGCCATCTGGGGGCTTGGATTGCGACGTGGCAGCTGTCTGCCTGAGCATGGCTGCAAGTAAGCTGTCTCAAGGCAGAAATATTATTTACAGGATAATGTGGCTCATGGAGAAAGGAAGAGGGGGAAAAATGATTGCCTGTGGGGAGCAGAGCTGGATGTTTTGGTGACTGCAACATCCTGCCATTTGCAGGAAGACATACAGCTCTGAGCCCTTAATTGGAGATGGGGTACTGCTGATGCAGGCTCTGGGGTGTCCTCACGGGTTTACATGGAGTCTGCAGGGAAGAGGAGGGGGATCTGTGCTGAGACAGTTCCCAGGGCAAGTTTTGCATCCAACGTCTTGGCACCATGCTGTGAGTTCACATGTGCTGCACTGACGCAGTAAACCTGCCAGGTCTGTGCTCTTCAATTCTCTGGTATAAACCAGAGAGAGCAGTGCCCTGGGAAATGTTTGTACACTTCATTTCACTCCTGCATGACAGCAGCAAATCTGGATGGTGGAGAGGGTTGCCTGTGTGGGAATGGGGCTGCTGGCAAGGACCCAACCCCATGTTTGATGGTGGGGTGCATGGAGGTCCAACCTTCAGCTGAACCCATGGTGTGAAGGGGAGAAAACCTGCATGAGTGGTCCTACATCTTTTGGGCACATCTGCTTATGTCTTTCATATGTGGGCATCATTCTGAGGCTTTGGGGATGGATGCCCACCCAGCTCTGGGAGAACCAAGGCCGTATAGTCCAGGATCCAGACTCAGAGCAGCCAGCAGCCAGAGCAGCAAGAAAAATATGAGAATGAGGTGTGACAGACACGTTCTACAAAGTAGCTTTTCCCCTCATCCTTGTCTCGCTCCCTTCTCCTGGATATCTTTTCCTTTTCCTCCTCCTCCTCCTTCTTCCTCCATTCCAATTATCTCCTTCTTTCATCAGTGCCGGAGCTGTAAGTACAAAGTACCAATTAGCTAGTTTTCAAGTTTAATTAGGTTGGAAGGTAGAGCAAATTAAATCCTTTTATCGTACGTTTCAAAGCGCTTTCCCATCAAGCCCATGGGATGGGATTCCTTTGCAGGAGGACCATGTCAGCTGCTGAGGAGATGTCTCATGTCACCGAGCACTGCAGCCATGGGGCGAGTGGGAGATGGAATGCAAGAGAAGATCCATCTCCCTCACCCCTACATCCTGCACTCAGATTTGTAAGGCTTTTAGGGTGACGGGCTTTGAGGCACATCTTACCTCAATGCATCGCCTATTGGTGCTCAGCTCTCCCAAGCTGTGCATTAAAAGCTATGCTCTCCTCTGTTCCAACAGCACTCAATGAAGTGTCCGAGCGGGTTGGCTCCTCCACACCTTGATCCCAATTCTCACACTGTTGGATGCCCTAACCCTCTCTCCTGTGCTTCCTTGTGTGTTGCAGACAAGCCACTACCTCAGGGCGCCCTGGGAGGCATCATTGGCATCGTGGGAGGTGTCATCGCTGCAGCTCTCATCCTTGGTGTGGCTGTCACCGTCTTCATTGTCTACAGGAGGCAACAGAAGGACCGCACAGAGGCAGACCATGACCTGTGAGTAGCCCTGGGCTGGCAGGGAGCGCAGCAGCTGTGGGATGGGGCAGCACAGAGTGCTTCTGTCTCCTTTGCTCCCTGAGCACACGGAGCCTTTTTGCTGCTGTTCATCCCCTTCTGCCCCCCTTTCCTTCCTTCATGACCCCTGGTGCTTCCTATCCTGCTCGCTTTTATTTCTGGATGCTTCTCCCAAGCCCTCAGTGGAAGCTGAAGCTCACTTCACCCAATGCTGCATGTACTGCAGTGCATCCCTGGGCACGGCACAGCTGCTCGGTGCCACTCTCACCTACAGAGGGAGGAGAGGAACCAGCTCCTCCTACACCTGTGAATGATTTCAGGCTCCTGAGTTGGACTGAAACCCATTCTGCCATCAGAGAAGGGTCTCTGAGAGACCCTCAGAGAAGATTCCCATCCACCTACACCTGGTGCCATCCTGAAGGCGATGCTGGAGCATCCCCAGGTGCTTTCCTTTGGCACTTTGCTCTGCCCCACACTGCAGTGCAATGAGAACATCCAGAAATACCTTCCCTGGCCACTCCCTACACAGCTCTGTCTCATCACAGAGCACCCCTCCCTTCCCACCTCCCAGGGAGGCACCAAGCCCCCAAGGCTGGAAGTTGCTTTTATCACCCCTAGCCCTCCCCAGCATCGCTGTTACATTTGGCCACATTTTGTGCTCCATTTAATCCCATTTGAGAGAGGGCATGGGAGGACAGCAAGCGAGGGAGGGAAGGGAAGCGGGGAAAACAAAAAGGCACAGACACACACACACACAAAAAAATAGCACCACAAGGTGAAACTTCATCAACAGCATCAGCCCTGTAGCAGAGATGCATTCAGGTGATCCATTTCCCACAGTGTCCCTCCAGGAAGGCACAAGGAAGAGTCGGTTTAGCCAAGAATAGAAACACAGCAGTGCCCCAGAGCATAAGGGGTGGTGGAGCCCAGCCCAAAGCCACGCAAAATTCAGAGCATTTCTTTTCTTTAGAGTCATAAGGTCAACATCCTGCAGAGCTCTTGGAGCCCACTGCACCCTTCCCTTCACCAGTAGCCCCAGTCCCATGCTGGAATCCATTATGCTGCCAAGGAAAGTCGCCCATCCCAATCGGAAGATCTGATGAAGTTTGTAGAAGAAGGGAGGGGAAGCTGGCTAATTAGCGGATCGGAGTTTTAATAAGTTTTGTAAAAGGATTAGACACATCTGTGCGTACAGACGGAATGTGCAGAGACAGGCTCTGGGCTGGGATTATAACGGCTGCCAATCCCCCGTGTGCTCTGGGGCAAAAGCTGATCCCCTGAGTGGGGGTCAGGGCTAAACCCCCTGCGTGGCATAGCATGGGGACGAGGGAGATTCCAGCTCCCACTGGAAAACCTATGGCAAATAAGTCCCCTACTGGGGGTTGCCATGATGTCACTGGTTTGCACTGGCACCTGGCACTCGCTGATGCTCACGGCCACCATATGAGCATCCATCCCATGGGATGCTTGGAGCCACCTCAAAACAGCACTGAGAGACAGGGATCCCAGCTACACCCCCGTGGTCTGTAATCCAACACAGGGAAGTGCTTGGAAATGGGAGCAGGGTGCTAGGAGGGCGTTCGTTTCTGTTTAACAATTCTAATCAGGGTGAGAGAAAGAAAAGAGGGGAGTTGCTGAGAATAACCCATATGATTATACTGACAGTTTGGTGACAAACACAGTCAAATCCTCAGTGTGTGCAGGATCTAGCTTGCTGTTGCACATGAAAGCAGGCAGACCCCTTCCTCCTGCTTTCTAATCAGCTGCCACTTCTCTCCCCTTAGCATTGACTTGCCTCCCTCCCACAAACCTGCCCCTCCGCCGAAGAGGAAGCAGGAGTTGAAAAGCCACCTGACTACTGAAGACATCCAGGTACGCCTCTTGCCTTGCTGCCAGCTCCTTCCCGTGGCAGAGGGACCAGGCAGTGCCCCCAGAGCCTGGATTTGGGATCACAGGGTTTGCAGGAGCCCAAGAGCCCATGGCATGGGTTTGGGGGGCAGCAGATCTACCCAATCCCCAAAGATGGACACATGGGAGGCAGTGGGTGAGGACTTGTCTGCCCACAGTTCCCAAAGATGGGCACAAATTGAGAGCTGTAGTTTGGACCCTGTTTGTTCCCTTCAGGAGGGATTGGATTCTGATCGCTGAGCTCTGGGTTGTGAGGGTTTTAGCATCACCACCATTTCAAACAGGAGATGCTGCAATGAGAAAAGGAACGTGGGAATGAAATAGAGCAGGAGGCAAGTTGTATGGGAGGAGTGAGAGAAAAGGTAGAGGTTGCTCCTGGTTGCTCTTCACCCCTCTTCTCTCTCTGACACAGGTTGTTCACTTGGACAACATGAAGCATGAGGAAGAGCTCCAGAAGCTCCCCCTGCAGCCCCCATACTACGACATGGCAGCCAGTGAGCCCTCTGCCTACACCGACAAGCTGGTAAGGGGAGCAGAGGGCTCAGAACACCCACCTCAGCCTCCCTGCTTTCACCCCAGTATCCCTCACCCCATGGCAAAAGACCCCATATCCAGCCTTCATGGGACAGCCAAGCCAAGTATCACCCCATCACCCTCTTGGGTTCTGCAGCAAAGCTTTTCAGAGAAATTGTTGGCCAGGCAGAGCGTGCTAGGGTTTGGCTCTCTGCTGACAAGTTCCTTAAAGCCCCTTGTTTTGTGTGGATTTGTTCAGTGGCAGAGAGGGAGATGCTAATGTGAGACAGCAGCAGCAGAGAGATTAAGGGTCAGGGAGAGATGCTAGCAGCCAGGCGGAGGGGGTGAATTTCAGGGAGCGAGACTGGGGGAGAAAATGTAGATATAAGAGGGCAAAGCATGGGAAACAGATCCATCCCTCCCCCACCCCACAGCATGGGACCGCTCTCTGCATCCTCTGTGAGACCTCACATGAGGGCTGCAGGTCTCAACATCAAAACCAGATGCCTCAACTTATCAGCATGTGAACCTGCTTCTTTGCCAAGGCGTTATAATCACCAGCCAATATGGAGGGATACTTTATGAACGTGACTAATTATTGCAGCCCTCCTGTTCATTTTGGAACGACCCTTCGATGTACATTCCTGTGCAGATAACAGAAGGATGGGGCCCAATGACCTTTAGCCAGCAGTAAGACAGATGCTGAGGGCATCGGTGATAAAATGGCTCAGACACAGCTCTGCACTGAGCCATGCCAATGTGATCTTCTTTACTCCAGCCAAGCTGAAAGTGGCTGATGGCCCTAAAGAAAAACTTCCTCTCAGACCCCTCCCTCAGCCCTGGGCTTATCTCCAGCCCCTTGCATCAAGGCAGGTGGGTTTGAAAACAAAGCACAGGACATCCGAGGCAGATGGGTTGCTCTGTGGAAAGCAGCTGAGAACTGCTTTTCAGGCAAGCAGAAGGATGGAGGAGCTCATTTTGGGAAATAACGAGCAGTCAGTTAATTAAGTGGCAGAGTTAGTGATGTGAGATGGGGCCTGATGGGTAGCTGCTCCGTAACCATGGGAACAGAGTTTGCTGCTCTCAATCCTGGTCTGAGAAGATGCATTTCCACATCCCATGCTTGGCACTCTCTGCTCCTTACCCTCACTCCCAGCCCAGCAGCAGTGGGCTGCAGTTTGCTCCTGCCCACCAAGAGAATCCCTCAGTGCTGGGGACATGGGGTCTGGGTGACTCAGCTGCTGCAGCTGTGTGGCACAGCTGGGTTGGGACCTGCCCTCTGCTCTCTGTGGCTGGCAGTCCCTGCAATGCTCCCAAGCTCCCGTTGCCTGCACACAGAGCATCTTGGCTTTGTGCCCCAGGAACGAGCCGAGGCTTGCTCTCGTTTCTTGCTAAATCACCACATCCTTTGGGCAGGCAGCAGGTTGTGCCAGTTCGTGACTGGCAATGGGAAGTAAGGAGCCCCTTTGTGCCAAACAGAGCTGGGAGTGCTGGGTGTTGCTCAGATGGCACAGCTGGGGCCAGGCTGCATCACGTTGCTCATCCATGCCTTGCAGAGCCAACTCCTGCCCCGCTCCTTCCAGGACCACTCACACGAGGCACATTTTTCATCCATTCCCTACAGCTCCACTGGGTCTCTGCCAGCCTAACACAGCCCCAACTCCCTTCTCATCCTTCCCCAGCAGCAGCACTGCTGTATGCATGGGTCTGGGATCCTTCAGAGGGGAAGGTAAAGAGAAAGACAGGATATTCCTGTTCTGCTTGTGCTTCATCAGGAAATCTGACGAGGCAGCGTGTGGAAGAAGATGAGAGTTAAGGGGAAGTGATTCTGCAGGAAAATGGGGTGGATGCATTGTGCTTTAAGTGAACTGTGCAAAACCTCCTAATTTGGGATAAACTGCTTTCATCACTCAGCTGCGTGAAAGCCACCGCCTGGGGAGGGCAATTTCATGGCACGAGAAGGGGAGCTGGAAAGTGATTAAAGATGATGAAGAGAAGGGAGGGGGAAGTGGGAGAGGTGGCAGGAGGAGAGAAACTAAGAGGTGGGGGGTACAGGTAGGAATGTGTGGGCCGGGGAGAGGCTGGAGCACATCTGCAGGTAGTGGAAGAGGGGAGTAGAAGTGGGTATGGATGTGGGAAAGAATATGAACATAAAGCTGATGGCATAGATGTGCAAGGGCAGTGCAGTGGATATTAAGAGTATAAAAGCATGCAAGGGATCACAGCGTTGTTTGTACTGTCTTTGAGCCCTTGTAGGGCAAAAGCTTTGGTGTGCATGGAGGTATTTAAGCAAGAGTGAATGGGCTGGAAGGTGCATGCATGCTGCAGGTTGCATGTCTGTGAGCGTTGGTGCCCATGTGCACAGCGAGGTGTGCAAAACCATAGGCACACCCCATGGGCACAGAAGCATCCGTGTCATGCAAATATTGTGTGTAAGGAGGAGCGTGAGAGGTGGGAGCAGGGCATGCATAGGAGCAGTGGTGTGATTGGTGTAAGCATCAGCAGTGCCCATTTGCACAGGTAGAAGGGAAAGTTTCATTGCTTCAGACAGCAGAATAATTCCTCCTTTTTACAGGGCAATTACCGGGGTGCCGATGCTGATGATTTACACAGAGCGCTTGCACGTAGCAGTGCTAGACCTTGTATACAAGCCACATTATTGATATTGTAATAAATTCTGCTCCCAACAAGCAGCAGGGAGCGGGAGCGAGCCCAAGAGCAGCAAAGAGCAAGGGGACTCCCCAGAGCAAGCATCTCCAGAGGAAAGCAGCATATCTGGAGAGGAGGGAGGGGAAATAGAATCATAGAATGGCCTGGGTTGGAAAGGACCACAATGATCATCCAGTTCCAACCCTCCTGCTATGTGCAGGTCGCCAACCAGCAGACCAGGCTGCCCAGAGCCACATCCAGCCTGGCCTTGGATGCCTGCAGGGATGGGGCATCCACAGCCTCCTTGGACAAAATAGAATGGGAAGGAGCTCAAGGCTCAGCCTGCCTTTATCTGAGACTGGAGAGGGTGCTGAGATAGAAAGATGAAGGGGAGCATTCTGCAGAGCATAGGTGGAGGTTTGAGATGAGCTGTTACCATTCACCCTCCTCGATGCCCAGAGCACCCAGCAGCCCTTCCAGCAGCTGGCACACACCCAGCTCATTAACAGCTGGCACAGGATTGAGGGCATTACAAACACAGGGCAGAGAAATATTTTCAGATTCGATCACTTTTGCATTATTGCTGTGTGATGCAGCCATTTTGGAATAGCTTTCCCCTTTCCCTGTCCCTTCTCCATTTGGAAGAGACAGCTCTCTCCTCTCAGCTCTCTCCTCTCAGAGAGGCTTAGCAGGTGCTCAGCAGAGAAATTAAAGATCCTCTGCAGAGAAAGGATTGAAGGCACCTCACACCTCAGCCTCTGACACCAGGAGTGTCCCTAAAACACCCCATTCCTCCTCCTTGGGACTCATTTCCCCCCAAGTGCTGAGGTTTCCAGGTTACCCTGCTTCCCAAGGTTCTCTAACTGTAATTGTGTGCAAAGCATGAGCGATGTCTGGATGGGAGTGATCAGACAAATTGGGTAATATTCCACACGTGCAGCTCTTGCTGATAAACCTGCTTAGAAACGGAATGCCCATCAATATTTCCACGCCAAAGAAGGATGCTTTTGGCATCTATTAGACATTATAACAGCCACAAAACCACGCTGCGTAGTTCATCTGCTATAGCATAATGTGCAGTCAAGCCTAGTGCAAAAATGTGCTGTATAAGAAAAGTCATAACAGCCCCCAAACCAGGGCAACACAACAGCACCGGTTAAGCAGTGCCATTTCCCTACAGCAATACAGCTGCAGCTGCTCCCTGCAGGTTAACTCCATCCTGACACCCCAGGCTCAATCCTTTCTCATCACTCTCACCCATGCACCCCAAACTGTTGGCTCAATGCTGACATTTCAGGTATCTCACGTGGTCTGAGTTCACCAAGCTGCCCTGGCTGGGGACGGTGCTGGTCTCAGGGGGTGATGGCAAGCAGGGAGCAGCAGAGTGCTGCCAGCTGGTCATTGGGCTTGCAGGTGGAGCAATGCCGTGGGGACCTTGGGTTTAATTCGGGGTTTTACCTGACTGATTGCTCATGCCATCCCTCCCTCCCTCTTTTTAACTGTTTTTTCTTCCTCCCCTCTCACCCTTCTTTCTTCTTTCTCCCCCCCCCATCACTCAAACCCCATCTCACCTCATCCACTCACTCCCTCCGGCTCGGCTCCCGTCTTCTCACCCCTCCTGACCCCCAAACCTCTCCTCCTATTCCCCCCACTGCCTCGCTGCTCTCTTCTCTCCAGAACTCTGGCACCAAGGACTGTGATGTCCACTATGCAGAGCTGGACACGGCCGCTCTGGCCTCGTCACCCAGTCCTCGGACCTCCATCCATGCTGGCGGAGACCTAGTCGAGTATGCAACCATCCAGCCCAACTTACGCTAGCGCATGTCACTCTAGGCCCTTTCCCCTCAGATTCTGGCCTCAAGGTACACAACTGCACTCTGCCTTCCTCACTGTGCTCCTCTCTGCATCCCCCGTCCTTGTCGTGGAGTGCTCCTAACCCATCCCACCCACCCCCTCCTCCCGCACGCTGCCCTTGTTTTGGGGGCTGGAGGAACGCCTTTGCCTTCCGTGCATGCTCTCTGTTGTCCTTTGCTTTCTACAGGGAGGTGAGGCACGTGGGAGGGAAGGGTTGATGGTGGGGCTTTGCAGCCAGCCTGGCTGGAAACGCAGGGAGAAACGAGGTGGGTTTGAGGGATGCAGATCTATTTGGGGCGTTTTGGTAAGGGGCCACGTTGCTGAGCAAAGCAGCAGTATCAGGAGAGCAAAACTATGGGAGATGCCAAAAGGGCCTTTCAAGGCTATCCAGAGGAGGGGAAGGAAAGAGAAGGGGACTGAGATGGAAAAAAAAAAAAAAAAAAAAAGGAGAGTTTGTGTGCGTGGAAGAGACTATAGATAAGAGGGAGCATATGTGCATGTGTGAAAGAACAAGGTGGGAGAGTACGTGAGAGAAATGGGAACACGTAAAGGTTCTTGCGTCTGCAAGTTGGGGAATAAGAGGCAGCCAGGGAGGGATGGAGCATGCAGAATAAAAGAGGCTGCATTGCACAGGGCTGATGCAGATGGCATGTTTTGATGTTTGAGGGGGAAGAAAGATTATTTCTTTCGGTGCTCTCTCTTTCAAAAACAGAGATCATACATGACTACTTCCCTGTCTGTTCCACTCCATGCATCACCCATGGAGCTCAGGTCCTGCAGCAGGAACTGCTTAGGGTTCCAACTGCATTTAACCCAGCAGTGGTTGTTTGGGTTCTCTCCAACTACTAGAGACCCTTCGAAGCAGAACAGTGTTTGCAAAGGGAGCAGTGTCATCAAGCCTTCTCCCATTGCCTTACCCTATAAGGCAATGGGAGAAGGCTTTCTCAGGTATTAAATGCACTGATTCCTTATCTGAAATGGAGCAAACTCCCCCTTCCTAATCATGGGAGATGTGCTGGGCGATGCCAACAGCTGTTGACCAAGAAAACAACATAGGCAGCTCCCTCTTCAGCCAAGGTTCTCACTCACTCCTTGTCCTCATCTATCCCCCATGGTGTGGCCACAGCATCCATCTTGCTCTTTTCCATTTAGTCTGTTGCATTGTAACTGGGAGGAATGGGCTGTGGGGTCAATGGGGCTATTGCCTCACAGGGTTCTCAGTACACAGCAAGAAAGCAAAGGGAAGGCTGGAGAAGGCACACAGCAACAATAGGCTGGGAACAGAGAAGGAGATGATAAAGGGCAAAGGAATTGGGTCTTTGGGAAGGATGGGAATAGATCCATGCAGGGGGATGAGAAGGAGGAAAACTGCTTTTTAAAAGCCTCACTGCAACCTGAGAGCATCAGTGCCAGCAGGTGGGTGATGGAGCTGGGTGGAAGGCGTGCAGTGGGACAGCTCAGTGTGCCTTACCCCTGTGCCCCTGGTTTTCCCCATGCTGGAAGGAGCCCTGTAGTTCCCCCTCTGTAGCAAAAAAAGCCTTCCTAGGTAAGTGTCTGCACAGCCAGGTGCTGGACCCAGCAGTAACCTCTCTCTCTTGCGGTGTCTCGCCCACCCCTGCTCCCAGAATGAGGATCAAGGTCTTCGTAGACGTAACGAGCGAGAGTGGACAGTAAGTTGTGGATGGGTTTGCTTTTGCTTCTCTCCATTGTTGGGTCTGTCTGTCTAGCTCAGCCATTGGGCTGCACCTCTTATCCATCTCCCAGCAGCTCCTGGCCACACTTGGACCATTGGCACAAGCAGGAGCAAGGCAGGCGTTGCCTAATCCCTCCTGGGAGGTCTCACCTCATCCTCCCCAGGGTGGGGGATTTTATTGTCAGCAAAAGGACAGTAATCCTCCAAATCCAAATTTGGAAATCCTCCCAGTCTCTCTGAAGCAAAAATAAAGCCAGTCATATGGTGCTTTGAAGGTGTAATCTCACCGCCACAAAATCTCCCTGCGAAGACACACCGCAGATCAGGGTGATTTCTGTATGCTGCTTTAATTATTTCCTCCCCCTTCACCTCCCCACACTCCTGTTCTCAGCTTTATTTGGGAATTTCTTGTCCCCGTTACAGCAAGAACAGCTCAAACCACGAGACTTGCACTGAGATCCCGGCCAATTAGAGAGCAGGGTTCAGATTTCCAGCTCTGCTTTCTCAACACCCCTATAAACCCACTGTAATACTGAGCTGGAGATATCAGACAATCAGCAAGTGCTGCCTCAGCTCCCAATTACTCCATTTCCTCCCCATTAATGCCAAAAAGTTGCATGAGCATCCCCCATTAAACAGCCCCATCTCCAATTTGCAGGAGAAAAAGCAAAGCACAGAGGTGGCTCCTCATTAGCTTCCCATCAGTAGGATGAGGATTCCAACCCTGATAAAGAGTAGAAGGGTTGGCACATAGAGAAACACCACGGGAATAAATGCTTAAGGTTACGGATGGTCTATGATGCTGTAGGATCAGAGAGCAGGTAAGTAGCTGCAGTTGGTGGAATGCAACCTTATGGGTGTGCTCATTGCATAAACAGTGCTTGCACTATGTCTGTGGGTGCATCCATCCCTCATCGGTGCTCCTTCTCTTCATTCTGAGGATTTCAGCTCTGGGATGTCCCAGAAATGAGAGCAGGAAACTGGGAAGGAGTTCTTCACTTTTAGACCGACAAGAACAGATTATTGTGTTGGATACAGTGGGGTTGGAGGGAGCTAGAAGTACTGTGGAGATACCTGAGAGGAGAAAGCAGGTGAAAAGGAAATGGGGAAGATTTGAGAGCAAGTCATAGCAGAAATCAGAGCCAATTCAATCAAATAAAGACCATTTAAAGGTAATCTTCCAGACTGTCTGAAACGGATGGATTCCTGACATCCCCTTCAATCAAAGCTCTTGGAAATAGAACTGGGGGTGGGAGGGGGAAGGATGTAACCCAGATAATGAAGAATTTTATAGAGCCACGTTGGAAACAAAGACAATGAGGAGAAGTCAGGTGGGGGAAGGTGGCAGAGTTGTGTGCCAGTTCAATTTAATTAGTTCATTATCCCTAATTTAATTTCAAACTTTGTTAGAGATAAATTAGATTGGAAAAAGTCACAGTGGGAATGGGGAAGGAAGTCAAAGGGCACTGGCTGCTAAACATGTTAATAAACATCAGGCTGATTCTGTTCTCATCCCTTTTGCTACGTAGATAAGGAAACAAAGCAGGAGTGATTGCCTCCTGGCTTCACACACCGAGAAAGGTGAAGGCAAATGGGGAAACCCTTCCTTTGCCCCTGCACTGGGGGTCTCCAGCTGCCCTGCTGTGAGAACTGAGCACAAAACACAGCCAGAAAGAAAAGCAGAGCTCATCCATACTCACCTGGCCAGAAGTGCTGACAGAATGGCACTGGTTCTCTCCAGTCTTGCTATGTGGATGGTTCTTTCAGACCCACACTGGACAGACAGAAAGATGCATGGTTTGGTGGACCACAAGCAGCCAACAATGCTGTATCTCACAGCCCCTTTTGCTCCTCTCACTGCTTGCTGCTAACAACCAGTTTGGCTTACACAAAATATCTGTGTGTGTCAAATGAGAACATCTTTTCCATTAGACCTTCCTGTCTGTGAGACCTTCTGAACCCTCACACTTGTAGAAAGCCCTCTTCTTTCCTATTGCATGCCCAAAACTATACAAACCTGCCCTCCTCTTTGAACAATAGTAGTTTGCTAGCCAGGCTAAGAGCCCCTCTTGCCTGCCATATCTCACTAAGGTTCAATCACTGAGGTCACCTCCCTTTCAGGTTACCCACCAGTAACTCACCATGCAGGAGGAGATCAGAGCTGACACCTTTTTCCATCCCCATCAGCACACTAAGGCAGCATTCCACTGCTTTCAAAGTGCCCCGAGCACAGGTTATACAGGAAGAGGACCTTTGCATGTCCTTAGGTGCTAACCTTTCGCTATCCCTTTTTTATCACCTGATACAATCAGAGGAATAGCGATCAGCTGTTCTCCATTCCTTTCTTCCCTTATGGTGTGGGTTCCTGTTGATGCTGTGTAACTGGTGTAGATGTCACTGCCTCTCTGAGTGTGTGCTGCCGCAGGGATGTGTGTGGTTCATAGTAAAACAAGTTCTTTACACTGAGGGCAGTGAGGCACTGGCACAGGTTGCCCAGAGAGGCGGTGGTGCCCCGTCCCTGCAGACAGCCAAGGTCAGGCTGGAGGGGCTGTGAGCACTGCTGGAGCTGTGGGTGTCCCTGTGCACTGCAGGGAGGCACCAGGCAGCCTTTGAGGCTCCCTTCCAACCCAAATCATCCTATGGTTCTATGAAAACCTCAGGAGATAGGTGTGGGAATGACTCACCCGAATGTCAGAGATACCAATGCATAGAAGGGATCTAGAGCTGTCTGTCCAGCTCGAGACTTCAGACATCTCAAGCAGTGGAACGCACCATTTTGCCAAGGAAAGAGAAAAGAAAGTCAGGTTGGCCTTAGCACTGCAGCTGCTCTAACTCCTCACCCTCCCGTGGCCTTCTCTGCCTTTGGAGCACCAGCCCTCCAACCTTGCTGCCTCTCACAGCAGTCTGAACCATCAATAAATTATTGTCGACACTTTGTTTTCTACATGATTTTTTTAAGCGTCCTGGTGAAATATTTATCCAGGAACTGGCAGCAGAGGAGTTGAGTAGATTGCTCTGTTCCTTCAGGCTTTTTCTCCTGAGGGTCAAATCCTTGTCCTCTTCACTAAACCAACTGTTTGTGCTGTGTTCAAAGAGAGCAAGGAAGGACTCAAGGGCAAGCTACTTGCTTCAGCCAGCCCTGAATCAAACCATGGGCATAAAAGGCCGTTGCTGGTGGGTTTGCTGCCTCTTGGAGATGAGATTAGCCCTTGGTGAATGCAAGGTCATGGTTAATCCTGCTTGGGTCGTTTTGCAAGGCTTCAGCATGGGAAAGAGCAGTGAGCAGGAGGGAGCATCCCACCTCTGCCACCCCATGGGGAGCAGGGATTGCTTGGAGCTGCTCTGAGCTCCCATCTTGCAGATGTTTTACATTCTTCACGGTTGCTTTGACTCACAAGCCTGGTGCTGAGGCTGACAAAGGAGCTGCTCGCACAGGTACAGCTCAGCACTATTGGCTGCTGGGTAAACATCGGGCACAATAACCTATTGTACTTCCAGAGCTGCTGGTCAGACAAATGTGCCCTTTTGTACAGCAGAGCACAGGTCTGTGTTGGACCAATGATGCATACCAGCGCCACTTTTACAAAACTCAGGTGTGGATGTGTTAGGAAGGCTGTAAATAAACTGCCCCTCCTTGCTTACCGCCTGCTGTATTGAGAGAGGCAGAGACCATACAGGCAAGGAGGAAAGAATGCAAAACCTATACATATTCTTTAGCCCAATGGATATTACAGGAACTGCGCCAATGCTGTTGAAATATGAGGTTTTATCACCCAGCTTTCCATTTTTCCGAAGCAGCAAGCAGAACTGTTTAATTTCCCATCCTATCCGCTGTATGTGAGCCTCAGCAAGGAGCTGAGCTGCGTGTTTCACGGCCGGCGGAGTTCTCACCCTTTGACTTTTGTCTCTGCTTACAGAACTTTGGAAAGTGTCACTCAGAGATACCGAATGCGAGTGATTACCTGACCCGCTGCTACTCACATGACGGTCGCTATCTGCAGAAGATCCCCCACGTTTACGCCCCGCTGTCAGACCTCCCACAAGATCTCTATCCTCACCACCCCGACATCTCCTTCTGCTGCCCTCCTCCCGGCTCCCGGGCTCCGTACATCTGTCCTAAGGAACAGTATGTTTAAACATCAGCACAGAGAAACGAAGACGCTCATGGTTTTCACTCCCCCCGACCCCATCACTCAACAACCAAGGCCTTTTAAACCCCCTCTTTGCCATTTGCTTATTTATTGATTTATAGGTATTTTTTAATTTGGGTGCAATTGTAAGTGACTTGGTTAGGTTAAGCGTCTGCCTGGCTTCTTCACGCCCAAGGGAACACTCTGCCTTCGCCCACATCTCATCCCATCCCTGAGACTCTCTTTCCTCGTGCTGGCCCTCCTGTACCAAGCTGGCTATGTGCGTGCATGTGTATGTGGGTGGCAGCTGCCCTGCGTTGGATGGGATGTGCCCAACCCCAGATTAAATGTCCGTAGGTTCCCATCTCCACAGTTTGCACCAGAGTAGCCAGGTGTGGATTCTTCACGACCCCTTTGGAGAAAATGGTTTTCCCCATTGGCAGATAGGAGACCCCTGTTGCAAAGAGATAACCAACCAAGATTACTGAACCAAATAATAAGATGCTTCTAAAGAAAGATGCTCAAAACCAACCCAAAGGAGAAGGAAGGGCTTGGTTTAGGGATTGTGTATGTCCTTCTTCTCTCCTACTCCCACTTCCAATTGCTTGGATTGGCTCTTTTTAACCCAAATGGCACTGGCATGTATTCAAAGCAAAGGCATCAGAGAAAGTATTCTTTGAATAACCTTCTTATAACCTGAAACCCAGAGGGGGAAAAATTTGAAAGGAAAACGATATATCTCATTTTCCTTTTCAGAGCCTAGTGTAACCCCCCACTAGCTTTTCTCCCTCTTCTCCTTGCATTTGTTGATTGGAATTTCAAAATGAACTCAGGCAGAATATGAAGAAAAAAAATCACGATTTCAGGTAATCTTCTTACTCTTAATGAAGGATAAAAGCCAACAGAGGAATCTGGCCTTTTAACCTTTTTTAAAGCATCTTAGTTTGGGGACTATTTATTTTTTCTAATATTTGGAATGTGTGTGGGTATGTAAATCCAAACGTGTACATTCCTGCAACCATGAAGTGTTTTAGAGAAGGGAATTTATCTCCACATCACATTTGTGTTCACTTGTATTAGAGGACAAATAAATATAGAGATACACTTATATGTATATAAAAGCAAAGAAGAGGAGAAAAAGGAATGAAAACCTCACAAGAGAGCTTGGTTTTGAGGATAACCTTCACCTGTTTCACCCAGCTGTGGCAGAGAAGAGGTGAGGCTGGGACAGCTGAGAACAAAGTGTGTGCCCTCTTGGGGAATGGGCATTTGCTTTCCTTTGTCCCGGGTTGGGGATTGGACATTCTGCAGACAGCATCACTCCAGACACCAGGAGGATGTCAGAGTCAAGAGTGGGGGGAGTGGAAGGAATCACACCACCACCCTGCTGCCCAGGCACCAAACTGAGCTCCAGTGCCACTTCCACCACTGAGCAGCCCACCCCACGCCCAGCTCACTGCAGGGTGAGGGTGCTGACCTGGATGCTGTCCTGGGAGCTGCCCAAGCACTCTGGAACCTCTTTATTTTTGTATATCCAAATTTAAGCAGCTGTAGTTGTTCTATGCACTTTCTTTGTTCCCATCACCTCGAGCAGCCATGGGACTCACCCTGCTTGTCCTCCTTTCTGCACAGAGAAGCACAGCCTTGCCGAGTCCCTGCAGGCATAGATGAGAAATGGATGGGGAGGTGGCTGAGGGTCATGCCTGGGTGGCAGGCAGGGTGCAGGCAGAAGGATGCTGATGCCTTTTCCAGCTGAAATAGGCAATGCCTGCACAGCACAGCAGCTTCTCTGTGCTCCAGTGCCTGCGGTTCTCCCATGCCCAGAGGGTCAGGAACTGTAGGACATCGCCTTAGAGTATGAGGTGCAACTTTTCCAATGCCACCCTGTCGGTCTTGACTGATTGAGGCCTTTTTGGAGTCGTTTGGACTCCTATTTCAGTCTCCAGAGAACTCAGCCAAGCACATCCCTACACCAACGGACCTGAGTGCTTCAGATAACGTGTTTTTCTCCCTTTTGTTTTCTTCTCAACACACCTTGGAGCACTTTCTGTCTACCACCAAGCTAGAACCAGGTGTGCTCTGAGCTGAAGCCATGGCAGCACATCCAGCCCAGCAGGGGCGACCATGCTTTGGACTCTGCCAAGTCTGCTTTTGGTCATCCTGTTAAGAAAAATGGAGCGGTGCTGGAAAACCCTGGGGTCTGTGATGTCCTGGAGCCAACCCAGCATCACTGCTGAGAGAAAAACCTTCCACATTTCCCTGTCTGCATGCCTGTAATAGCAGGATGCTGCCTGCACAGCAGCAATTAAGGTAGATTTGATTGGGAGCCTTCATCTGCTGCAGTTTCAGCCGGATCTAAACATTTAAATGGGAAGTGGAATACAGTCAGGTCTTCAGGTGAATTAGGAAAAAAAGCTAGGGGAAATGGCTGTTTGCCAGACAGCATTTTGCAAGTGGCTTCCTCTGCTGCTGGTGGCTGGAGGACGGTGCTTTGAGGAGGAGGGGGAAGCAGAGGCACAGATTGCAGCATTACACAGAGCCCGTGTGCGCCTTTGAATTGGAACTGCCCACAGATGGCAGCCACAAAGGGTTTTACTGTGCTTTTCAGCAAAGCAACAGGATTTCGGTCCTCCTCAGGAAGGGGAAAAGAGAGAAAAGCCTAAATTCAATGTAGCCTCTCGACAGTACAAACGTTAAGCCTAGGGATGCCTTGGTTCTCTTTGCCTCTTAATGTTCTCTCTTCTCCTTAAGAAATGCATTGGTCTCAAAGAATAGCAAAAAGAAAGTCTGTGCACACCACCGAATTGTGGAAAGAGGCAAAACCCCACCTGAAGAAAGAGACAGAGCACTATTCGAGCCATTTGTTTTGGTTTTACAAAGCCACACTTAGCAATGCTCTAATGCTCCAAGCCCTCCCTCCCTTCCCACGTGGTTGCACGACGTTTGCCAAATGGCCACTTCCAAACTTTGCTGGACCTGATGCCAAGGGCTGAACACTGGCTTTGCTCCATGCTAAGGCTGCCCACGCTGACCTTGCAGGAGCACAAAGCCAGCAGTGCTGATGGGAGGCGTTCCCCTCTTGCCACGGCGTGTGCTGATTTGCAAAGATACTGCTCTGGGAACAGAAACGTTGCTGGGTGGATGGCTGAACAAGTTGAGCAGGAAACTGGTTGGGTTTGTGCTAGCAGCGTGCATTGGGGAGTTGGGTGTTATTCCCCACGTGAGACATGAAGCCATTCCTCCTGTTGCTTTGTACTGGGGTGAAATGTGGCAATTTCTGTTCCATGCGCCGGTGGCATTGACACAAGAGCTCTTGCAGATGGAAACGACTGATCACAGAACTTAAATAAAAGTGAACTGAGGAGTTACAACAACTGTCTTGGCTGTGAAGCTTGCATCAGGCACTTGACCTCTTCCTTTCTCCTAGTGCCGACTTATTCCTGCCTTGTTCACTGCATACATCACCCCCTGCACACTCATATTATGTAACATCCAGGCTTGCACACCCTGGAGGGCAGTGCCTGGAGCATATTGCTGCTGCATCTCTGCCCTCAGAGCCACATAAACAGAAAGAACACCCAGGTGCCCTAGGGGAGATGCCTTCTCTATTCATTCTGTTCCCTTCTTGGGAAACCTCCTCCATGCTTCCCAGTGTGAGTGGGTGGAAGAGGCTCAGAGCCATCAGTGGCCCTATTCCAGGCCAGCAGCTACTGGGGGAAGGAATGGGATAAATCACCTCTCAGGCTTCCTCCTCTCCAGCTTACTTTTTCTACCCCAATTTCCATACTCACCTGTGAGTTGAATGCTTAAGGTGACAAACACGTGGCACCTGCCTTTGGTTGGAGGGGCTGCTTACAGCCCAGAGGGAAGGGAGAGCCCAGAGCCCCCCTTTCCCCCAACCATCATACAGGGAAGGCAATATCTACATCTCTGGGGTGTGAACCCAAACCATCTCTTCCTTAGAAGGTGCCCAATCAGACAGCTTTGATCAATACACCATTAGAGAATTTTTAGCACAGACCACTAATGGTGAGAATGGGAAATCCGCAGGGTATATTTTTAATAAAAAAGCTCCACTGCACGTGGAGAGAGCCTCTGCTTCTGGATGAAGATCTTTTGAAACAGTTCTGCTCCAGATCTGGGTGGGCAGATGGCAGAGGGCAATTTCTCATAGTGTAGGGGCATAGGAGAACCCCCACCCACCCATGGTCCAGGGCAGCACGTAGATCCAATCACGGGATGTGGAAAGCAGACTGCTGGCAATGCTACCATCACTTTGCCCTAAGCCAGACAGGTTTATCCTGTCTTGCCAGAACCTGGCACCTCCCCTTGGGACTGTTCTTTGAGAAAAGAAGCCAAGTTCACTTCTGCCTGGTGCCATTTGCACAGCAGCTCCCACTGCTGGGGCTTGCTCAGAGTTTCAAGGGCACCCCAAAATGCACGCAGCTACCAGGGGCACTTTGCACGGGTTGGGGGGATGATGCTGCTCAAACACAGGTGCTCCCAAACACAGCTTTTTCCTTATTTCCCCTCCACGACTGGGTGTGGAAGCAGGTCAGCACTTCAGATGAGCTTTGACGTCTCTTCCTCTCATGTCCACGTGCTACGATCGATGCCTCCCTCAGAACATAGAAGCCACTTAGCATGTACTTAGAAATATAGGCGTAAATCTATATGTTTTCGACTAAAATATTGTTTTTACCAACACTTGGACTGCACAAAATACGTAAGATGCATCAAAATACTCCTATAGCTGAAAAGATGCTGCTTTATCCTCGGAGCTAGCCAGCTTTATAAAGAGCTTTTCATACAGTAGCAAAAATAGGCACCGTGGAGGGCAGACGATGCACCGTGAGCATGGAGTGGAATGAAGGAGCTGCAAATTAAAGGAGAGCACAGAGAAGAGCTGCATTAAAGATTCCACATCTCTGTTGCAAACAGGGATGGCTGATCTCTTTCTGCTATGCTGTCATGCTCTATTTTCTTTCTCTTTATGTCGGATGGGAGGTGAGGCTTTAAAATCTGCCAGCAGTGCATCCAGACCCATTCCTCCATGTGAGCAGCACCTCAGACTGAAAGCTTCCTTCCCTCCCCCACACCCCCCCCCGTAATCCAGGCTCGAGTACCATCATTTTCATATCAGTACTAATTACATTAATTATTCTCCTCAGTATAAAACTCATTAAGCTGGAATTTATGGTTCATTAACTCAGAGCTCCTTCCTCGTGCAGCGGTGTGGGGCCAGGGTTATTTCTGTCCTGGCTGGGGGCAGGTTCTAATCTGCATCCCTGGGTGCTCAGCATCTCCACCAAGGTAGGAACAAAGCTGTGTTTGCAGACCATGTAGGCATGGGGATATCATGGGTACAGAGAAGGAGTCTCGGAGTCCCTGTCTCAGAAAGAGTTGACAGGATTGGCACAGGCTGCCCAGGGAGGTGGCGGGGTCACCATCCCTGGAGGTGTTCAAAAATTGTGGAGATGTGTCTTTGGGGGACGTGGTTAGAGGGCATGGTAGGGGTGGGCTGGAGTTGGGCTTGGGGATCTGAAAGGCCTTTTCCAAACTTAATGATGGGGTGATGGTAGGCAAGCAGGCTCCACTGCCACCATCCCACCTAGGGACACTTCTTCTTCTTCCAAAGGGTAACCAGGAATGCTCTTTCGCTGCTGCCGATGTCAGAGCCTAAGAGCAGCCCTGGGGATGGGAAGGAAGGAAGGCTGAGGACACAGGGTGCCTCGTGGCATCCCACACCCAGCACAGCTGCTCCAGGAGATGGAGGCTGACAAGCAGACTGACCTCCTAATGGGTCTGGCTGACAGAGAATCCATTTCCTGAGAGCGGGGCCTCCTTCACACTGCGCAGGTTTGTACCACGCTCCCTAATTACTGTAATTAAGCAGTCACGCTGAGTGATGTTAGACAGAGGGTTCAGAGTCATTAGAGGCCTGTAGAAGATTAAACCAGTCTTGGCTTCAGTGTCTGAGCTCCTTTTGGGTAATAGAGATGGGAGCAGGAGACGGAGCTTCATGACGTGAGGGCTTGCCCTTGTCAAATGTGGCCATTGCAGGAGGGACAGCAGCTAATCCTGCTCGTTCTGCAGGACCTCAGCATCCCTCCATCTCCTGGAGATGGACCGCTGTCATGAACTGCAGTTCTGAAGCTCTGGCAGTGAAAAGTCATTGGGACTAGCCCGGAGATGATGGCTATGCTCACAGCCTGAGTGCCTATTTTGTCATCTGTCAAGCACCAGAATAAAAAAAGCAGCTGGATTTGCGCAAGTGAAAACATCCTGTGGAGCAGAAGGGGTTCAGCATCCTATTCTTCACTTGGTGTCCATCAGTTATTCTCTCTCCTGGTCCCCTCGAGCTAGGAGGACTGAGGTTAGTCTATAACCATGTATGTCAATACCGCGGTGATCATGGAGCTGAAATCTGTTTCTCTACGGATTTATACAGCAGCCTGATTAGTTTAGCAACGCGCTCCCCAAGGCGCTCACTGACAATAGCAGAGGGCTGGAGACAGCTTTGTTAGTCCCACAGCTCTACTCCTGCTCCCCTCAACCTCTTCTTTTCCCTTAAGGGCACCGAGATGTGCTTCTATTCACACAGGTAGGAAGACACGCTGTGTACAAGAGACTGTGGCTCAGTTCATATACAATTGGCATCTAATTCATTTCTCTGCGAATGTGAAAATCAATACTGTTTACAGAATGCACAAGGGCTCTTCAATCGGTCAGTGTCCTTGTTAAATTCGGTTCTGGCTGCCAGGAGATGATTCCAGGAGCTGATTCTATGAGATGAAGAAGGAGAATAATGGTCCTATCACTCTAATGAACCCTGAGAAGACTCTGAGATTCTGCCCCTGCCCTCGCTAGATGGAAAGTGGTTCAGAGTAATCAGCTTGATGGGATGGACTGGCTTTTCTTGGAATTTTGCCTGGCTAGTCCAATTCTGAGCCATGGTTTTGCTCCAATGGAGGTCAAAGTGTCTTCTTCCACATGCAGGAACATACATCTCTTCAGCACTATTTACTTGTGCAAACCTTGTGGGTGAAACCATGGCAGTCCCATTTGGTCTGTCCCAGAGCATCAGAGCTCCACAGCTCTTCCCAGTTTCCCATACACCCAACTTTATCTGTCGAAGCATCTTCCGAACAGAGCTTGATCTCCACATTCCTCTCACTCTGCCTGCAATAGGAGCAGCCCCGCGGTCAGCAGCTCCAGCTGGAGATGTTCCAGGGCTGCACAACTCTTGACATCCTTCCCACCTCTATTTATCCTCCCTCTGAGTCATCAGCTCAGTCCACAATTTCCAGCATCATTCTCGTGCCGCACTTCCAACAACACCAACCCAGCAACCACAGCCTCCAGGCTGAGGGCTCCAATTCACAGCCTCTCCTTTTGCACTGCACCTTCCAAAAGCCTACACAGCCATTACCAATATTCCACCCTTGCTTATTGACAATGAGCCAGCTGGAGTGCGATTTCTCCTTATATCTAATGCTACATATCCCTGCAACACCAGCCATCTTACTGTTGCCTGGACTTCAGGACCAGAAAACCTTTATTTTCCATTTCCATAATAAGAATAATACCCCCAGACTTTAAAATAATTTCCCTGCAGGGCATAAAGGACAGTAAGGAATCTTAATGGTAAATCCAGAGTTCAAATAAATTCGTGTTCTGTTTGAGATTTTTTCTCTCCTTTTTGGAGGAGAAATTATTATTATTATTATTCTGCAAAATCCTACAAATACAGTCATAGGACTCCACTGAATTTGTAGATTTTGTCTGAGCATTGGACTCTTCTGCTCCTATTCACTCTGCTAATTACCCTTTTTAGCTTGCTTTTGCTCTATTTTCACAGATCTCTTGGTTTATTTATATCTACCTATCTATAATGATTTCAGAGCCATTACTCACAGCAGCACCAGGAAACATTACATTTCCCAATTTACAATTGCAATTATGATATCCGTCAGAAACAAATGCAGCTGCCTTTAATTTTAAGCAATATTTTGATCATAATAATTAAAAAAGGAACTTATGGCATTGCACACATTAGAGAAATTAATATAATTTCCTGGCTGCCTTAAAAGGCATGCAAAGCAGTGGTTGCTGGGTGAGAGATACAAGGGGGGAAGTTAACTCTTTTGGTTGCTTTCACCACTCTTCAGGGCACACGTAGAGCCTTAATGATATTGTTCTTGAGAGTTAACTTCTCTGCAGGATTTAATACATGAGTTTTTTTGGCTTTCAACTTATTTTTCTCCTACTTTCATCTTTCCGAAATTGCTGGTTATTAAAGTATTTGTGTGCAAACAAGAACATTTTCCTGTCACTGTTCATTTAGGCTTGCCTGTTT